TGGGGGGGACTGGGAGGGACTGGGGGGGACTGGGAGTGAACTGGGAGGGACTGGGAGGGAACTGGGAGGGACTGGGGGGGACTGGGAGGGACCGGGATGGCCCAGCCCCATACTGGGATCACTCTAACTCATACTGGAACACACCAAACCTGAACTGGGATGGCCCAAACCCAAACTGGGATGGAAAAAACCCAAACTGGGACGACCCAAACCCAAACTGGGACGACCCAAACCCAAACTGGGATGACCCAAACCCAAACTGGGATGACCCAAACCCAAACTGGGAGCGACCGAGCCGGTACCAGGGTTGGGGTTTGGGGCTTGGGGCTGCTCCCAGTCCGTTACTGGTCAGCACCGGTCAGAACCGGTCAGCACCGGTCAGAACCCGTCAGCAACAGTCAGAACCGGTCAGAACCGGTCAGAACTGGTTAGAACTGGTTAGAACTGGTCAGCACCGGTCAGAACTGGTCAGCACTGGTCAGTACCGGTTAGAACTGGTCAGAACCGGTCAGAACTGGTTAGAACCGGTCAGTACTGGTCAGAACTGGTCAGCACCGGTCAGAACTGGTCAGAACTGGTCAGAACTGGTCAGAACTGGTTAGAACCGGTCAGTACCGGTCAGAACCGGTCAGAACTGGTTAGAACTGGTCAGAACCGGTCAGTACCGGTCAGCACCGGTCAGCACCGGTCAGAACTGGTCAGCACCAGTCAGAACTGGTCAGAACTGGTTAGAACTGGTCAGAACCGGTCAGAACTGGTTAGAACCGGTCAGTACTGGTCAGAACTGGTCAGTACCGGTCAGCACCGGTCAGAACTGGTCAGCACCAGTCAGAACTGGTCAGAACTGGTTAGAACTGGTCAGAACCGGTCAGAACCGGTCAGAACCGGTCAGAACCGGTCAGAACCGGTCAGAACCGGTCAGAACCGGTCAGAACCGGTCAGAACCGGTCAGAACCGGTCAGAACCGGTCAGAACCGGTCAGAACCGGTCAGAACCGGTCAGAACCGGTCAGAACCGGTCAGAACCGGTCAGAACCGGTCAGAACCGGTCAGAACCGGTCAGAACCGGTCAGAACCGGTCAGAACCGGTCAGAACCGGTCAGAACCGGTCAGAACCGGTCAGAACCGGTCAGAACCGGTCAGAACCGGTCAGAACCGGTCAGAACCGGTCAGAACCGGTCAGAACCGGTCAGAACCGGTCAGAACCGGTCAGAACCGGTCAGAACCGGTCAGAACCGGTCAGAACCGGTCAGAACCGGTCAGAACCGGTCAGAACCGGTCAGAACCGGTCAGAACCGGTCAGAACCGGTCAGAACCGGTCAGAACCGGTCAGAACCGGTCAGAACCGGTCAGAACCGGTCAGAACCGGTCAGAACCGGTCAGCACCGCTCAGCCCCTGAGCGCGTTGCCGTGGCCGCAGCGTACAACGACAGCGTCCAGGCCGCCCGTAACGCCGCCTGTCCGGCCGGCCGCTACAACGAACAGCCGGACGACAGCGTTCCCAACTACCCCAAACGCGCCTGTCGCTTCAACCGCTCCCTGCTGGGACCCTGCGCCGGGCTCGGCCCCCACGGCGACTACGGCTACGGCTCCGGCCAGCCCTGCGTGCTCGTCAAGGTCAACCGGGTGAGCACTGGGGGCACTGGGAGGGACTGGGAGGGACTGGGAGGGACTGGGATGGACTGGGAGGGACTGGGAGGGACTGGGAAGGACTGGGAGGGACTGGGATGGACTGGGATGGACTGGGAATGACTGGGATGGACTGGGAGGGACTGGGATGGACTGGGAGGGACTGGGATGGACTGGGGGGGGCTGGGATGGG